GGTCGAGGGAGGTTGGCTGTGGGAGAGCACTGACCACCAGGGGGCAGCTCCTGTGTTGAGCATCTGTCCCCTGGTGGTCAGTGTGCATCATTGCAACCGGTCATTCAGTTGTTCTGTCGCTTAGGCTTTTGTATATATAGATTATTAAAAGAACATTTTAAAGACCTAAACAAATAGAAAGACATTTCATACTCATGGATCAGAAGGCTTAATATTGTTAACATGGCAACAGTCTCCAAATTGATCTACAGATTCAACGCAATCCCTATCCAAAGTCAGTTAGCTTTTTTTGCAAAAATTTACAAACTGATCCTAAAGTTCATATAAAAATGCAAGGGACCTAGAATAGTCAAATAATCTTGAAGGACTCACACTTCCCAATTTCAAAACTTACTACAAAGGTAACATAGTATAGTACTGGTATAAGGACAGACATAAAGATAGACCAATGAAATATAATTAAGAGTCCAGGAATAAACCTGTACATTTATGGTCAATTAATTTTCAAAAAGCATACAAGATAATTCAATGGGGAAGTAATAGTTTTTCAACAAATGGTGCAGGGACAACTGGATATTACAATGAAAAATAATGAAGGTGGAGCCCTATATCACACCGTACACAAAAATTAACTCAATATGGATCAAATATCTAAATGTAAAAGTTAAACTCTTAGTATAAAACATAAGCACAAATCTTCATAACCTTATATAAAGCAATGGCTTCTTAGATAATACACCTAAAGCACAAGCAACCAAAGAAAAATTAGATAAGTTGGACTTCATCAAAATTAAAAATGTTGTGCTTCAAATGATACACATCAAGCAAGTTAAAAGACAACCCACAGAATGGGAGAAAATATTTGGAAATCATATATTTGATAAGGGACGTGTATCCAGAATATAAAAAGAATTCTTACAACCAATAATAAAAAGACAAATAACCCAATTAAAAATGGACAAATGATCATAATAGACATTTCTTCAAAGATATACAAATGGCCCATAAGCACATCAAAAGATGCTTAATATCACTAGCCATTAGGGAAATGCAAATCAATATCACAATGAGATACTAATTCATACTCACTAGCGGGGGCGGGGCTACAATAAGAAGACAGATTAAAGCACGTGTTGGCAAGGCTATGGAGAAATTGGAAGCCTCATTCATTGCTGGTGGGAATGTAGAATGGTTCATCCTCTTTGGAAAACAGTCTACAAGTTCCTCAAATGGTTAAACAGAGTTACTATATGACCCAGCAACTCCATTCCTAGGTACATACTCAAGAGAAATGAAAACATACTTCTCCACAAAAGCTTGTATACAAATGTTCATAGAACTATTCACAACAGCCAATAAGTGGAAACAACTCAAATGTCCATCAACTTATGAATACAAAAAAAAATGTGGGCCGAAACCGGTTTGGCTCAGTGGATAGAGCGTCGGCCTGCAGACTGAAAGGTCCCAGGTTCGATTCCGGTCAAGGGCATGTACCTGGGTTGCG